TGTGTGTGTGTGTGTGTGTGTGTGTGTGTGTGTGTGTGTGTGTGTGTGTGTGTGTGTGTGTGCTTAAAAGCTAGTTCCAATGATGTAGGACATCCGCGGAGGGATACAGCTTTGACAAACCGACGCACACTCCGGCGTCGCTGCTGCTGGTTTGAGGCAACTCTGCGATCGGACGCTCGTATTTCCAGACCTGTAGCTAACATTTGCATGATCCGGTGTCATAAATTATAAGCTATTTCATCAAAGTAACCCTCTGTTGCAAATATTACAGTACAGCACCGTATTTAAAATCTTTCGGCARCTTCACAGCGCTTGAAAAACGTCAACGGGACAATGGTAAGTAGCGAGCTAACATCAACGTGCGCAGCCATGCTAAAGCTAAGAGGCTAATCGCTGCTTTTACTCATACGTGTTTAGTATATCCTCTGATAGCCTTTTAATAAGCCGAGCTAAAACTGAGTTCGACCCATTTTTAGCTTATTGTGTAAAAGCTTCAGACAAGCCTTCTAATTAAGGTTTATGGAACATATTTTATTGTCGTTTTGTGTCAGATTTCATTTTGCTTCAGCGAGGCAGCAGAGCACCATTTTTCCTCCAATAATTTAAATAGATTCAGCTGTGCAGCAAACACATTGAAATTAGAGAGGAAACGGGCTGTCGGTTTGTTGTTATTCGACACCAAACATTTGCTGATTGTGCCTTTGTAACCTAAGCATAAAGGTTTGCAGCATTATTTTTTTCTTTTTATTTCTCCGTTTTTGTTTGCTTTGGGTCGACGGTGGGCGTGGTGGTGATGCTTGCAAGGGATGCTGTGTTTAAAAACAGATAATCCAGAGTGAATCTGGAAACCCACGTCGTTAATCCTGCATTAAATACATCAGCGCTGTGGGTAAATGACCTGCTWACAACCATTTTGTCATTCCACATCCTCGGAGTGGTTGGGACCGTAGTTTTGACATGCGCAACAAGCGGGGGGGAAAAAATGGTTATAATCTGCGCGGAGTGGGATTACACAAGAGCCCAGCTCTCAGATAGCAGTTTGCCTCCCCCCCGTTTTAAGTTTAGGAGCAGCTGCATGTGTTTAAATCTTGTGCACGACGAGGAGCTGCAACATTTTGGACATGACACCATCATCTCCTCTTCGATACGTATTGCGCCACAACGTGAAACCGCATTCTGCTTCTGCTGGATGATCCTCTCTGCCACCCCTCCTCTCCGCGTCTCCCTTCCCCCCGCATTGAACCAAAAACATGCACGGTGCAGCAGGCTGGCTGCGCCTGCAGTGCATCCTGCAAAATGGGCACTAGCTCAACAAACAAATGGCTCTTTTTTGTGTGTCTCAGAGGGCCACACAAATGGTCTGTTGTCTTTGCTAAACTTGGAACATGTCAGCTTTTGTTCTCAGTCACATGTTGCTTGGAGATCACAGGAAATGAACCTAGTTTTACACTATTAAAGTGGTGAGATGAGAACTGTGGAAATTAGTGATGACGTTTGTTTTCTTTTGAGTTTGCAGGACGTTTTTTTTTTAAGCTTTCTGACAGCACCATGGCCCGCTCCAATGCAGACACTGCTTGCTTCAGCACCATAACGATCTTTTGGCCCTTGACAGAGTGGATGCTCTGCAGTCTTTCTTACCCCCCTCCTCCCTTCCCTCTCACCCCAGCCAGCACGGTGACTCATTGAATTTGATTCGAAGAACACATGGCGTTACTGACACCTCGGGCGAGAGGGAACGTTAGCTTTAATCTTCTTGGTTTGGAAAAAGCACATAGTTGGTATGAATGGGACCCTGTCCTACAAAATGAGTCACAGTGGGGAATTTTTCATTATTGAMTTATTTTCAAATTGTCCTTCTCAGAAACTTGGTTATCAATAAGCTAGTTTTGTTTAGGTGTGTGCTCTTTTAAAAACAATTTTTTTATTGGTCTAGAATGATGTCATCTGGAATTCCTGCTCGATATCTGAAAAGATGATCGCCCAATGTTATATGAGGGGATTACCAGGCGTACGGCAGCCGGCAGATAAAATTTCAAAGGGTTTATTTGMGAAGATATACCAGTTAGAAAACTTTGATTCAAAGCTAGATTGGGACAATTTCTATGTTACTAGAGCAGGGGTCTGCAACTTTTACGATCAAAAGAGCCATTTCTGCTACTTGACGTACTAAGAAAGTGTGTCCAGAGCTGCAAAACAAGCTACAGCTGTGATTATCAACTGGTGGTCCGTGGGCCTTTTCGATGCATTTTCTGGAAGCTTTATGGCCAGTGGAGGAGACATTATAAAACTAAAAAATATATTGTGAATTTTATTATTTATTATTTTTACACATCAGGACAAATGGAAAGATATTCATATAAACAAAAAATGCTATATATAGATTATACCTAATTTCATAAAAGCTAGTACAACTAAACTATTCAGACTTTTTTTTCTAATTTTTATTTTATTATGTAGTCAAATTATGTAACGGTAATTCAGATGGATTTGAGAGGAAGATCGTKGAAAGAAGTTGGATCATTTAAGTAAACAACAGGCTAACATGAGCCAATTAACACTACAACACAGCTAATTACTTTTTGTATTAGTACATATTTACATACTAATTGATTTCTGTTGTGGGTATAAAAAAATAAATAAAAAAAGCTGCTATATTCGGTCACATTTTCAYAGAGCCACTGCAGAGGGACCAACGAGCCACAGGTTGCAGACCCCTGTACTAGAGTCACTAGATAATGTTTTCGTTAGTCAATATTAAAGTCAATATTTTCATGTTWATTGTGCTCATCTGATTCATTTTGTAACATTTTTATTTATCAGCAGTGCAGGAGCAAATMAAAACCTAGATGAAATTGTCTTATGTAAAACATTAGCTTAAAAGTTCAGGAAATTAATTCCAACATTTAAATAACCCTGAAAGTAGTAGTTCTGGCATTAGTTTGTCTTCATCATCGATCCAGTATTAGTCATGATTTAGCTTAGACTGTAGGGTCTTATTTTCTGCATCAGTTACYTCATAGAGACCCATACCACACGAAGGACCACAAAGACATGAAGCAAAAGTCCAACAACAGTTGGCCATTGGGTCGGAGAGTTTAAAACTGAGCCAAACATTTTGTTCAGTAAAACAGCCACAAAGAGCTTGTTAGCTGCTGTAATATTCAGTGTGCTACATTGGCGACCCTGTTCATGTCTCACTAATTATAGCAGGCATGTGTATTTCAGGCTGTGGAGAATATATACCCGTCCCTCATCACACTTTCTCAGCAGCCTAAAGTGGGCATGTTGTCAGGCTCAGACAGGCCTGTAAGACTCATCTTTACACCAATGTGGGTGAAAATGTGCTGAATATTTGTGGTGAACTCTGTGCACATCTCGCACAAAGCAATTWAATGTCTGCTGTTCAAAGCGTTGAGTTTAGAAGAATAGAAAGTTCCAGGTAATATTTTGCCCTCTGTTGTCCAGCTAATAAAGGGCAGTGATGGTAAATGACTTAATGCTTTGAATGTTGACAGCAGGAGGTTGTAGAGGTCAGAGCTGGTGCTGCCTGCTGTCTGTGTTTGAATTAGTTTGCCTAAAGCCCATTTGCATTAGTTCAAGTTGTGTACATAGTAAAGCTGCTGCAGATGTTTTTCATCAGGCCTGCAGGGAATCGGAGCTCTGTTTTTATTGTGTTAAAGATTTTTTTTCCCTCAAAATTTTTAGTGCAGAAATAATTTTTGACAGATGGTCTGCTTGTTGCTTTTTAACAAATAGGAGAACCAAGTGTTTCCTTTTCAGCAGATTTCTTTCATTTGAATTTCTGTTTCTTCACAAATTAAGTGTACAAACACAATTCTTTTTTTTTTTTCTGTTTTGCTTTATGTCAAGTAAACTAATTTATCAAGCTTGTTATTTTGGCTGTAAATAGTTAGTTTAAAAACTGATTTATTTTCTTGAATATTGGTACTTCATTGGTGTGTTGTACTTTCAACAGGCCGATCAGCTGACCGAGGAGCAGATTGCTGGTGAGTGCATACCTTCACCATGTTTGGTTTGTTGTATCTTTAGCAGCACATTAATTCATCTCCAAATTTGACAAACTGAGTCGTTTCAAAGATTGAAGACACCAGAAGTCAAAGCTTTYGACCCTGTTAGCTGAAGTGGGGCTCTGATTGTAGACCCACTGAACAGTAAATCACATTCAAGTTGTTTGTAAAAGTAAATCAACTCAATTTTGAGTATGAAAAATACCATTTGTGGTTTTAATGTAAAACAAAACATTTTATGTAAGGTGCGAATCAGTGTTTTTAGACGCTTTGAATTTTTGATGCTTTTGAATTTTCATTAATGTCAGGTAATTAAAATAATAAAACATATCTTCAAATTAAGGCACGTGAAAACTGATGATCATATTTCTGTTAATGCAGAGTTCAAGGAAGCGTTCTCACTGTTTGATAAGGACGGTGATGGTACCATTACTACAAAGGAGCTTGGTACCGTGATGCGCTCTCTGGGACAGAACCCCACTGAGGCTGAACTGCAGGACATGATCAATGAGGTGGATGCAGACGGTGAGGGAAAAAAATAAAAACCTTTAAAAGCACTTTAGAATGTTCCACATGGTTTGTTCTTATAGCCAAACGTTTTAGAGGTTAAAATAAAATTTACTGTCTGCAAAGTTGCACCAACAGGGATTGATACCTTTTTTTTATGAAATTGCTTTCTTGTTCAAAATGATATAAATTTGCTAACTTCTTTCTGTTTGTTTTGACTTTGTAGGAAACGGAACGATTGACTTTCCTGAGTTCCTGACCATGATGGCGAGGAAGATGAAAGATACAGACAGTGAGGAGGAGATCAGAGAAGCTTTCAGGGTCTTTGACAAGGTAATATAAGATAATAGATCAGCTAACCCATTCATTGAAACYCATTCTTTGTACATTTGTGATAGCAGGAAGAAACATGTTTATAATAATGAAACCTTTATTTTTAAAAGATAAATTGTTCTCAAGTACATGCAACAAATCTAGCTTGGATTGTGTTTGTTAATATTTAGAGTCACTTAAAATAATCTAATTTAATCTTTGTATAAGGTGGGCTGAGGTGTAGGATGCGGAGGCTGCAGGTTCGAGTCCAAGTTGTAGCGTGACGAGCATCCTGTCTAATAAATTGAAGCAATTGGTAAACCTTTCTTGCAAGTTCAGCCCCTGTAGCGCCTCCCATAGAGGGGAGCATCCAAACAARAACTAGGTTGAATCTGATCAAATTTCTGTGAGGGGAAAATAGGTCCCAATTTGTCTTAAAGAATTAACATGAATGTAGATTAGAATTTCATTATCACTTCAATATTTATAAATGAGTATTTTTACCATCAGTGAATCTGTAATGAATTCTAGTGACTGTGGCTAATTACTTTTAGAGGATAAAACAGTTTAGTTACTGTATTAGTTCTTAGAGTTTAACACTCACACCCACTCTTAACATGGTGGCAGAAACTGAGCTTGAAGTGAAAAGTAAAGTCTCAAGGCTTTGAAATGCTTTCCATGCCACTTGGATTCTTATCTGTAATGTTATTTTTGGACCAGCTGTATGGGTTTGTTGTTTCACACTCTCATGTGCGCTGCTTAGTCAACTGTGTTTGAAAGAAATGTTTGAGAGATTTTTCAGATTTGACCTTGGTTGTTGTCCTTTTAATCTTTAAATAATTGTACAAATTTGAGTAGCTGAACGTCTTCACATGGCACCACCTCAAAATAAATGCCTTTGTTTTCTCCTGCTGACCGTTAGCTTAATCTGTCGCATCAGAAAAGAGCAGTAGGGGTGTAATGATTCATCGATCTATATCGATATATCGATTTGAATGGTTCATGATTCAGTTATTTCGAGGCAAAATGAAAATATCACTCTATACGTTATCATATGATGTGAATCGATATCTTATGCCAATTTAACACATTCATTGTGTTAAATGGGCATATGATATTGCATTATATCGATAGCAGACATGTGAATTGAACTTAATCAAAATTGTATCATGACAGACTTTGTGATATAGAGAAATATCGAATCGTCCTCCAAACATATCGATGTAATATTGTATCGTGATAAAGCTGGTGATTTACACCCCTAAAGAGCAGTCCACCACAGAGACCTGGTGGACCACTGCAGAGGCTGAATTCACAGTCAGTCAAGCAGACAGCTGACCATGACAGTGTAGTGTTTTCACCACAGATACACTGACTCAGTGTGTTATCTTCTCTGTGCAGGACGGTAACGGCTACATCAGTGCAGCTGAGCTACGGCACGTCATGACCAACTTGGGTGAGAAGCTCACTGATGAGGAAGTGGATGAGATGATCCGTGAGGCTGACATCGACGGCGACGGTCAGGTCAACTACGAGGGTAAGTCCTGTCTGTTATCCAGCCTCTCCTCTTTATTCTTTGGATATTATTTATTATTAAAAACATTTTTTTTTGTACATAATCTTTTGTCATTTTTTAACAGAATTTTGTCTTCTTGTTTCCAGAGTTTGTCCAGATGATGACAGCCAAGTGAAGAGAGCTCTGAACTTCCTCTCTATGTTGCTTGTCCTACTAAAATTACTGTCTTTAAGAACTAAAAAAAGGAACAATCATGAAACGATAAAAGTACCCCCCCCCCTAAAATAATTTACCCGTAGAATTTTTAATGTGCGCTTCGATACATCCAACTACTTCTAAGGTCTCTGTTTAGCAAACACCAACAGAATAATCCCTAAAGAAGTTACCGGACCAAGCTTTAAAAGGGCCAAAGTCCTCCTACTTCAGACCAAGAATCTGCTGAGTCACCCAGCTTCCTGATTAATTTAGAGGAAAGGGAAACACTGAGAAAGGCAGAAAGAAAGGAAATCAGTCTGAATAATCTGTAAAAGGAAGTTGTTTGTTAGTTATTCCCAGATAGTTATCAAAAAACAAAAAACGTCTCACATCTGTGGTGACTCTAAAAACCTGAATTTAGTTCTCTTTTTTTGCATGCACCTTTTCCTTTTGACAAAGACTCTGAACCCATCACAGGTAGTGGTCAGATTGTGTACACACTGGAGGTATATACATAAATATATAGCTATATATCTGTAAAATTTGTGTCACTATTGATTATAGCAAGAGCAGTTAGTTGAAGTGTAGGGTGTTCATTGGTGCTCGGCTGAAGGTGTGGAAACCTGAAAGAGTTCGGAAAAGAACAAGACCCTGAAAAGTGCTGGAGGCTTTTTTTTTTCTTTTGTTTCGTTTTGTTTGTTTTTTTTCTCTCTCCCTCTATGGGATGTACTTTTGTTGTGTTGGAGTTGTGGGCTTCACGTGTCCCGCAGCACCGATTGGGGACGGTCGTTCTGTTTCAGGATGATCGTTGCAAGGTAAAACACACTTGTCGATGGCAGTTAATATATTTGTTTGGATATAACAAGAAAATATTGATGTAATGCTTTTTAAATGTGTTCTCATATAATAATGTATTTGACGACAAACTTTGGTTACAAGATATATCGATATATTAGAGTATCGTAAAGTTTGCATTGCTTATTGTAGTAATTGACGTGTGACATGTTTTCTGTTTGGTTCTGAAATGTGCCATAATACTCTTTAAAACATGCAACCTTTTTGCAAGGCTCGTCGTTTATCTGAATATATCTGCTTATGACAATAACATGAAAATACATGCAGTCTAACATATTTGCACTTTGGTATAAATCACATGGATGTTTAAAAAATGCTCTAAAATAATAAAAAAAGAAACCAAATGCCACTGTTACTGCTGCTAAAATACTGTGTATGTTTCACACATTTTCTGTATTTGTTGGTGTCTGCTCTTCAATTTGTAGTCCAGTGATCAAACTTCAGTCTGCTTGTTGTTTTACTGAACAGAGTACATATACTGTATATTCCCAGATACTACTCATGGTGGGGCTGACGTGTTTAATTTGGGCTTTTCGAGCGGGATGAGCAGATGTGGGGGATGGAGTGGTTTTTGTAGCAAAGCTGTAGATGTGCAGCAGGTTTCAGTGTTMGAGGAAAGATTTTGACTTCAAGAAGTTTAAAGAAAGAAGTTAGCTGGAGTATTCTATGATTTATGCAAAGTTTAAATATTGCTTGGTTCGAAATGTTTTTTTGTTTTTTAATAATTGATGGGCTTTAAGCATCTGAAAGTATCTCACAAATGTAAAGATGTGATATATTTTCCATAAACTAATAAACTGACTAAGCTTTACTCCACCTGTGTTTGAATGTATATGTATATTGTATATTACTTGTTTGTAATATGAAACAGTTAAATGWCTCTGCTGGTGTCCCGGTCCTTGAATAGAGCTTTCTAATCCAGACTGCCTCGGGCCGGGTCGGGCCAGGTCACCACAGTCTTCTCACCGGGAAAACTATCTCTGGCACAAATTATATTTAGCGGATCAAGGGATTGCTTCAGGTGCTGATTGTAATCCAGGTCAGCAGGGGTCATGACCTCTCAGGCACAGTCTCATTGACGGACAAGGCTGCGAGCCAATAGAAACACATTTTATCTGTGTGGCTTAGTTTGATTGGACGTGAGGGTAATTTAAGTAGGTAAAGTGAATGAAATGGGAAACGGGCACACTCGGGTAACAGCATTACAAAGTGTTTAATGACAGACTGTAGTAAGGCCAGCTGAGTGGCAGGCGGGTACAGCAGTTAAAATACTTGCGAGATTATCGTTTAGGATGTTGATTCCTCTCAGAAGTTTGCATGTTTGCCTTTGCTCTTGGTTTTTTCTGGTTTCTTCTCAGACTTAAACCATGTATGTTGGGTTAATTGGTAAGTCTAAAGTATCGGAGTGGGTGATTGTCGCAGTGTGTCCCTGTGAACACTTGGGACTCTTGTCCAGCATGTCTCCCTGCTTCTCACACACTCGCACAGAGAGCAAGCAAACTCCACCCTGAAAGCCCCCTGGCCGCTCTAACCACTGTGCCTCCCATTAAGTAGGACTTTTCCAGAAAAGTTCAAATGTATTTTTAATTGTTGTGTAAAAGAACCTATAAGTCTGAATCCGTTAACAGACTGTGAGCTACAACATTTTAAATACAGTATAAAATGTCTCATTGTGGCTCATTTCCACCTCCAGGAGACTAATCTACGTAACGTCTGTGAGTACGTGTTCAGCTCTGAGCACAGTCTACTCTGAATACATCACTAATGTTGGTGTTGAAAAAGGCGACTGATCTAAGGCAGCCAACCACTGAGGGGGGAAATAGATTTCCCATTATTGCGTCATGTTGGATTTCAGCTGCTCAGCAGGGCARCCTTTGTTGCTGTTTCTTGTAAGAGTTGTTCTGTGGGTGACTTGTCTGCGCTGCAGCCAAACTCAGGACTTCTTTTTGTAGCTGTTCTGGAGCCAGGCGGTTATAATATGAGATCTATATTATATATGCAGAATATTTATTAGACCTTTCTGAAATAAGCACGCTTCAGCCCGATTTATGGCAAAAAAACTTATTTAACTAAAAGCTCACAGATGTAAAAGGTGTCGCTAATACGTCCCCTCAAATCGACAAGAAATATTCAAACATTCTACAACCACATACAGATGYTAAAATAAGTATTGAACAAGTCACCATTTTTCTCAGTAAATAGAGGTGCTAATGACATGAAATTTTCACCAGATGTTMGTAACAACCCAAGTGATCCATAKATACAAAGAAATCAAACCATAAATGTCCAGAAATGAAGTTATTTGTAATAATGTGGAATGGCACAGGGAAAAAGTATTGAACACATGAAGAA